TGATCATGAAGATTGGAAAGTGCTTAGAAGTCTCAAATTTATTCCCATCGAAGACAAATCCACGCCTGGAAAAATCACTCATTACTCTCCAAGGGATTGCTTTTTAAACTGTTTAAATGAATGGTACGTAGTATTTCTATATACATTTATTTTGATAATTATTCTACTTATTCACTATTTTTGAATTTTTTTTCCGATTCAGCTATGCTAATATACTTCCAGGATCAGTGAAGTGTAGTTTAGCCTATAGTTAGAGTTAGGGTGAGAAGTATAGTTTAGCTCCATAGTTTGCAAGGATTTTTTTTTGTGAAATATGGTTTTGCAAATAAAATTTTAAGTTACTGGCAACTTTTGAAAAACTTCGATTTTTTTTAATACATAGTATCGACAAATTTATTATTTCTCAATTTTAGACAATAACATTTGTAATCTTAAGTTCAGTTAACTATCTATAAAATCTTTATTTATATGTGTATATTATTTACAATCTACCGAATAACTATCATATAAAATCACTAATAAATTGTAATATAATCATTTTGTTTGTTGTTATAAAGTAACTGGAACAATAAAATGATCATGACGATAAAATAAATGTGGAAACAAAAAAAATGCACATTAAACATGTAGTGTTTTTGTTGTTTGCATTAGCCTTATCCGTTAGAATGATGTTGAAAGTGGAGGAGCTTGCTCTATTAATTGCCCTTCGGGTAAAGCACGACATTCGCGGTGCAATGATGAGCGCAACTGACGTTTCCACGTTGTACCGGGACATAACGCCTTCGATTTCCCTTATGTGCCTTGGTCCGATGGACCCGCGTCCAGAATAATTCTATCATGATAATAAAATTTCTCTTAGAAACAATCAAATCTGATAACTTCCCAAAATTGATGTAAACATTTCCGCCACGTATAATGCTTTGAGAGGTTAAATTTATACCTACTTTGCATTGAAGTATTATTGTGTATCCTCCAAACAGGTCGATGCCGCCATCTCCAGGTTCATGCCTATTTGAAAATAAATAAGTATTTGTTCATAATTATCATGAATTAAATTCTAAGAAATAACTTAGTAGAACTCACCTGGTCCGACGTAGTTCTATTCTGCGTCTAACGAACTCTTCAGAAATTTCAATTTCAAAACGAGCACCTCTAATAGCATTCATTGTACGTAGATTCAAGGTTGATGGATTGAGATTAAAAACGCTTAAACATCGAAGAGAAAACTGAGATGCTTTATTTATTTTAAAAAAACTGTACATCGTACGACACGCGTCGTTGACGTAATCAGACGATCAATAACCCCTAGCTCTCACAACAACGCCAGGGTGTAGGATCGATTTTACTGTCACATGATTTTCCGACGTCTATCAGCCAATCAAAGATCAGGA